CTGCTGCTCCCCAGGGTGGGTGAAGCTACCCCTGGGCACAAGGGTAGGACCTATAATGAGGTTTTTCCCTCACACAGCAGCAGCACCTATGCCAGGGAGCTGGTTTTGTGGGGAGTAAGCCAGATTTGTACCCTGGAGTGGTTAAATATATGCAGCTAAATCAGCTGGCAGCGGAGAGGGCAGGGTGAGGATGCTTGGGGAACCCCTGGGGAGAGATGGGACCCTTCCCCTGCAGTGCAAAACAGATCAACAAGATGCAAGTGGTGTTAGTGTTTCCGTTTTAGAGTCTGCAGGAGCTTGGTCACCTGCTCTTACTTAACCTGTGACAAAACCCAGTTCTCAAACAGCTTTCCTGACCTTTCTGCTGGCATCTTTATCACCTGACTTTTGGCAGGGGAGGCTTCCCTTGGTCAATAGAAAGACCAACAAGTGTATGTGTCTTAGCAAATTCCTGTTTAACAGAAGGCAGATTCTGGCCATGTGATACAGATGCCACGAGGAGTTAGTTTTTAATTGTCTATAGCTTCTTGAAGCACAGGTAATGCTGTTTATCTTGGAGATCTTGTTTATGTGTCTTAACAATAACATTCCATAAATTCCAACAATAACGTTCTCTCCACGAATAGGAACCTGTGGAGTTTTCGTCTTTTATCTCTGATTTCTAATGCAGCTAACCCAGGAAAGCTCAAACCTGAGCTTGCAAACTCAAAGGCTGTGTTCTGCAACAGTTTGTTTTCCGAGCTCAGTGATGAGATGTGATTTCGTTGGGGTTTTGGCTTGGTTTTGCCTGTGTGTTTCTTTTCTTTCCACCCATTTCCTTTCCAAACTAGAAACAGACAGCAAAGGGGGAAAACCACAAACCGTAAAAGAAGAAACAAACTGTTAAAACTTGAAACCTCGCTGGCAGCCTCACTAGAAACACTCATGTGGGTCCTGACTGTCATTTTAACCTTAATCTCCATTTTCTGTTTCTCATCTCAGCAGTAGCTGCATCCAGCGACCAGAGCCAGATTCCTATAATTGTTGTGTCTGTAACAGTGGGAGTCATTCTGCTGGCTGTTGTTATCGGTTTCCTTCTCAGCGGAAGGTAAGAAAAGAAGCTGTGTATTTATACTTCTCCAACTTTTGTCATAACTTTCGCCTGACCGGCAGATTAGCGTGATTCAGGCGAAAGCAGCACGTGAATGATGCTGGCGAGCGGTGGAGCTGTAAAACAGCACCAGGGTGGGCTGATTGATCTGTTTGGACAGGCAGGAATGGCAAAAGGCTCACAGATGTAGTCACATCCCAATGATTTCCACGTCTGTGTAGACTGGCCCTGATTATTCGACTCGATTCTCACAGGAGTGTTTTCACATTCCTTGAAAAATAAGCAGAACATGTTATTACAGGTAAAATATCCTGAAGCCCATATGTTTGCACTCAGAGCTCACAATGGGCTTTGCTCACCGAGAAAACATGACTTAAGGAAGACATTTGCAAAGAAAAAGAGAAACAACCCAGCCAAATGGTCAAACGTCCCAAGTTTTGGTCAGGTCTGGATTTTCTTGAGTTGTAGAACACTGGAACAGGTTGCCCAGAGAGGTGGAGGATGCTCCATCCCTGGAGACGTTCAAGGCCCGGTTGGATGAGGCCCTGAGCAACCTGATCTAGTTGGAGATATCCCTGTTCCTTGCAGGGGGGTTGGACTAGATGACCTTTGAAGGTCCCTTCCAGCCCTAACCATTCTATGATTCTATGATTCTATGTGTAGGACACCAATGTGTTCCCCACGTGCCAGTAAATTATACAGATTGCTCCCCCTGTGGAGGGAGACACTCAGCTTCAAACCATCAAGCGATGACTTTGACTTCTCATGTGCTTAAACATAGGCAAGTGATGAAAGCCTGGGCTATACCATGTTTGACAACTCTAATGGAAGTTGGTGGAACTTGTTGGTGAACAAGGGAGCACAGTATTGGGAGACAATCTGACTTGTATCCGGATCAGTTTGTACTACGACACTTCAATTTGAGCAGCAGCCAGCACATAAGGCACTTTTTTCATATACTACATGTGTATTAGTACATTTTTTTTTAATGGCAGTAGTCAAACGATGCAACATCCTTCATGCAAAGCAATGTGAGGTGCATCTATTGATAAGGCTGAACTTGTTTTCAGTGCAGAGTAAATATTCAGACTTGTCAGCCCACTGTTGCTTTCATGATACAGGTCTGTCTTTAGCTCAGATTTAGCAAGGTGGCTGTAAATTACAGGATATTTGAAGTGTTAAGAGTAGTTACAAGATACACGCAGAGGAACTGCGCTGATGCTGAACATATTGGCTGAGGGTCTTATTTCCCAGAGGAGGTAGGGTATCCGTCTGTGAATGCGGCGTGGTGAAATCCAGCCAGGCTGAGCAGCAATGTCCTCAGGCATAAGGCATCCATGGAAGGACACAGTTATTTCCTGTCTTAAAAGGTAAGTGTGCTGCCAGACTCGTCTCCACTCAAGGTCAGAGACTGACAGTCTCTTCCAGCTCAGCCGTTCGAGCTCCTGTCGTCTGGTTTGAGTGACTTGTTGGGCTTAAAAATGGGAAAGTGAATGTTCCTGTCTGCATGAGAAGCATGCAGTGGTGTGGGGGGCGGTGAATGGCTACAGGCCATTCACACCAGGGGCTACCAGAAAGCTGCAGCCAAAAAGACTTGGCTCTGAATGCTGTAAGCAGGAGTTCAAGTCTCTCTTTAAAAGCTGGAGGTTTTGAGCGAAATCCCTCCTCTAACGGAGCAGGGGGATGTGGACCCTGGTCTCCCCCAGCCTGGATGCGTGCTCGTGTTAATGCAAACAGGAGGATGCACACGTGGCTGTAGGGAAGCGATGGATATAGCCTGGCACCTCTGCAAGGAGGTGTCTTGGGGGGTGAATTGAGGGTGGAGGGACATATATCCCTCTGTGGCCATAAAGAATCAAAACTGTGTGGCAACCAGCAGCTCCTGCTCTTCCCACAGTCACTGGCAAGTGCTCAGGACCCCTGTGGGGAAGATGTGCCCTTGCAGGTCTCGTTTTTGCTGCTACCCTCTCTGGTCCGAGCAAGCAGTTGCAAAGCCTGAGCCATTTGTCAGCAATTCTCGTTAGTTATGTCTTTCTGTCCTTTGTTCTAATGGGCTTTCCAGGATGTGCTTCCTCTTGGCTCTTTGTCTCTTGATGTGTTTATAAAAGCCCTTGTCTCTTTTGGCTAGTTTTATCGTTGCTGCTGCCTTAGTCCTCCTACCTTGTACTCACAACTCTCTCCATGGACCCCAGGGCAGCTGCAGGTTCCCGGGAGCTTCTCTATGCTGTCATACTGGACATAGGGGAAGGGAGAGGCACAGGGAGCTGCACTCTTGGTCTGTTTTTATCTTTTCAGTCCTTCCTCTAAACTGGGAAGAACCCAGTCGCTCGGCTGGAGGTGGTGGAGAAGCCCCCAGCACCAAGGTTTTGTCCATCATTAGAGAATTGGCTTCAAAACCACGGAACTTCTCAGCTGCTTTGAGTTCCTGTGGATTTTAAAGCCTACCTAGTGCCTCGAGTGACTTGTGAGAACAGAAGAATAAACCCCAGAAGCCCACAAAGCTGACAGCCAATTTGAAATTAAACAAAGCAAAACAAAAAAATTGCCTCTGTTTGGAAGAAGCAGAGATGCCACTGAAATGTGTCACTCACGCTGCTTTGCCTTGGATAAGATTTCGAGATAATTTGTGGAGTGACTCTCCTGCTGTGACTCTGTGGGGATGATAAACACATTCCAAGTCATGGGATAATCCCTTTCTAAAACTGTTAACCTGTTTCTGGAAGATGCTTTCCTGTGTCTTTGGAGTAGTTATATTGTTCCAGTGCCTGGTTCCAGGGAGTTAAATTTCCTTTCCTAATTCTTTCCTGTACTTGCTTTTAGAAAAACAGACATTTTGAACTCCAGAAGTTGCTCCAGCTGGAATCACCACTGCTTTCCACGCCGAGCAAGCTGTGCAAAGCCCAGGCTCTGTCTTTTCTGCTAAAGTAGGAGAGCAGGTACTGCCCAGCAGCAAAGCTAAGGAGATCCCTCTTGCTCTGCAGCACTGAGGATGTAGCCTGGCCAGCTCCTGCCAACAGGCTCCTCATCACCAGCTCCGTGCTGCTCCCAGGCTCCCTGGGAGGTTCTGCACACCTCGGAATTAGGATACTCCTCCCTAGGATGCTGTATGGTGTCTCTTTGCCCCTGTCCTCCCAAGTGCTGGGCTGAAGCAAGCAGGGGCTTGAGAGCAGCGAGGAGGGGATGTCCTGCTCTCAGCAGCTCAGCAAGTAGTTTCCCAGCCGTAGGACTCAGGAATTTGCTGGGCTCTGCAGACTTTTTATTTTCTGCTAGGTCCCTGGAGGCAGAAGTTTCCACACCTTTTCCCCTTTTGTTGCTTTCAAGTATCTCTGCAGTGTTCTCGCTTCTTTTGAACGAGTGTAAGTAACAGCTTGGCATTTCCCGTTGGCAGCTGGCCCTAAACCAAAGGTCAGCTGAACGGTAGTCACGGTGGCATTTCCACATGCCAGCGTCCATCTGTGGAAGCGCGCTTTGTGTCTGAAGCCGGAGGTTCCTGGGAATTTGAAACTAAATGCGCTTTGCCCTAAACAATTAAGCTGAGTTTCAGAGCTGATTTACTCACAGATGCTCCAGAAAACTCTTTCTGTAAATAATGTGTCCTCTGACCAAGGTCATAAATGCCAAGCAAAATAGCTGATCACTTTTTTAAGTTATCCTGCTCTTTGCATCAAAGGCATATTAATAATATAACGATCAGGATTACAAATCAAAGAGGTTCACTAAATCAGACCGTAGTTGTCTCAGCAAAAAAAAAGAGAAGTGGATTGAAAATCTATTATTAAACCAGCTACAAGCATTGAATTAAAGAACACGGAGTTGTTATTATCTTTGTTTTGTTAGGATTATGTGTTCTTCTCGAAAGCGCAGTTCATTTCACAGATAGAGCAAGGCCATGAATTTTGCTTTCCTAGCAATGCTTGAATTAGATGCCACATGGCATCGTCGTTCCTGATTGAGGTATATATTAATCTAAAATCATTGCAGACTTTTGTTTTACAGTCTGTGTCGGACAGTGCCCATCCCAAACATCTTTGCTCTCTGTCTTGCAAGGAGCAGGAAGGTGCTGCAGTCGCCGTTGTGGCATCAGCCCCTTCCTTCCTACAAAGCTGAGGTAGGAAGCCAGGTTTGCATCAGCCTGGGAAGGAGACCCACTGCTCCAGAGCAGTTTCCTCTCTTTTGTCCTTCAGAACAAGCCCTGTTTGCAAAGCTGACAGGGTCTTAGGGTGACCGTTAAGAGACTGCTGGTCCCTCTGGTCCCCCAAGCATTTGAGCTTTGTAGCGCTAAACGAAACCAGAGTACAGAGTAAAATGGGGATGCTATTAGGTCAATGCTGGGCGTGTTTGCAAAAGCTGCTCAAAATAACCAAGAAGTGTGCTGTGCATCTGCATTTATAGCCAGCTACCCATTATGGATGACCTTTCCATCTCTAGTGATCTTCCAAAGAACCGGAGGGAGCTTTTTATAGAACTTAAGAAAAAAAAATAGATTTGAAGCAACAAAAAACTGCCCCTCACCCTGTGTCATGCGTATATAGAAAGTCCCTTTCTGGCAAGGAACGAGCCTTCAAAAGACAAAGCAAAGACAAATCTTGCCACCTGGGTATTGGCAATTAGAGGCCTCTGCACCAGAGTAGCCATCCTTGACCTTAGTTGATTTAGACTTTTAAATATCAGCCTCTGCGGTGGCAGAGGGCTACTTTCTGGACACAAATATGTGCATCTTGTTAAAAAGTGACTTTCAGGGAGTAGAGAGGGTGAAAGGATGGTGGTGTATATCCCAGGTCCTGAGCCAGCGTTTGCAACCTTCTGTGATGCAGAAGGTCAAAATGGATGAATTTTTCCACAACCTCTCCCTCATCCTATTTTCCAAGATGTGTCAGGGCTTAAAATAGTTTGCTTTTTCGATATTTCCGTAGGAAACGGGAGACGGTGTGTAGATAACGTTTTTCATAGCAAGAATTTTTCCAGCATGAGTCACAATTTTTATTAGTTGTGACTTT